TTTTCACCGCTCTGCTAAGGATTTTTTAAAAGATTTTTAATTGTAGTATTTTAATTTAGTATTTTTTATATTACACTTTGCTACTACAAACATTTACGAACTTTCATACTATACTTGTAGTTGACGTTATTTATTTTTGGCCGCAATTCTCTTATATAAGCGGCTTCCAAAATTTTAAGTTTTTGCGTATTATTATATTGATGAAGTACTCATATATTTTCAACTAATATCTGTTTAAACGCTTAATGTGGACATGAGTGTTCCTTTAAATGTTATGAGGTTGAATTATGGTCGTTCAAGTGAAACATAAGCCTTCTCGTCATTGTCGTTGTTGCAAAACCATCATACGTATTAACATTTTTATCAGAGATGAAATCTCCCAAAGAAAATTTAAATTTATATACTATGTTAGTCTTTTGTAAGACGCTAGTTAAAAGAGAAGAGTTCTTATGAATAACTAAGTTTGGTTGTATTAAATTTAGTGTAGTATATAATAGTGTTGATTTAATGCAGTACTTATTGGTTATATATGGTGTAATTAGTTGATTAATAAGTTTGGTTAACATGCATATTAAATATATATATATATATATATACATTGCATATATATATATATATATATATATATATATATATATATATATATTAGGATGTCCCTCAAAATATACTGAATCATTAAATGACAATAAATGGAATCTTTACTGATGTCAAAAAGTTAGTGTGTGTGTGTGTGTGTGTGTGTGTGTGTGTGTGTGTGTGTGTGTGTGTGTGTGTGTGTTTTAATTACATAGTGCCATTTATATTTTTTAATGCACGTTGTTTGTTTTTGATTTTGTCAACTGCACAATATAGTGGGGTCAGTTGGGCACCATCGGTTAGAAAAAGTGCATCATGACACAATTCACTCCGCCAGAAATTTGGAGAAAGTGACAGTTGAAATTTCTGGGACACATAATTGGGAAACAGGACCCGGAAAACTCAGTCCTCACGGGATATACTGAAAGCAAAAAAGGCAGAGTGGGGAAAGGGCGAGTAGCCTAGCAAAGTTTGTGCAAATGGATGACAGAAAAACTGCGGAAGCTATGATCGCTCACATCCTGAAGTGACACGGCACGTAGAAGAATATATATATATATATATATATATATATATATATATATATATATATATATATATATATATATATAGATATAAAGCAAAATATACGATATCAAAAGAAACGGTTTTTCTACTGCGAATTCTGTCTCGTTTTCTGAAATACAGTTTCTAGGAACTTTTGCAGACATTTAATACGTACGAACATACATAGATATATACATACATACATATGTACATTTAGGCAGCATATCTTCATTCAAGTATTATATCTATTTATTTTTATTTAATCCTCTCAGATTCACGGATCAATTTCTTAGTGTTGTTATTAAACTGATTAAGAAAGGCTCCGTAGTTTTTGTATTTTCCCAAGATCATCTTCAGGGCTGAATTGCTAAGACAAAAAAATTAATGTAATTGATAGTTGTGAATTATTTTGTAAATGCACATGAAACGCGCAAATTTATAGTCAATTTAAAAATTAACCTTAAGAATATGTAAAGTAAGTAACTCAATTTATATGTTTTTATTATTAATGTTTTTAAATACTCACCTGCAATTTAAAAAAACAATTTGAGTATCCCAAAACATTGCTTTTAGAGGCATTTTAAAACATTGTTGCTATAATCATATTTAATTTTATTCAATGTTGTTGCTTTTTTATATACGGTACTTCAAGAATTTGAAGTTTTTGTTTTTTATTTTCATGATGGAGTATACCTGTATTGCCAATTAATATTTTCTCTAAAACGTGAACATATGTGGGAAAAGTTCTCAGGTTGAGCCACTTACCAAACTCTGATCTGATGATCAAACATTAGAACTTATTTGAGATTTCCATTTTGGTAGAACTCTCGAATGTATAATAATAATAATAAATTAAATTATCACATATCTTGTCCCTACTCACCGAATCAAATACACTGGTCGGAAGGGATTTTTTGCAAAAGTGGATTTATTTTCAGAGTGATGTAGTTCTACGGAAGTCAGGGTAGACACAAATGAACATTTAATTTTTATTTATTTATTTATTATTATTATTATCATTATTATTATTATTAATGTTCTATATCTTGATATTGAGCATTATAATTACAATGATTGCTTGTCTAAGAAATATATATATATATATAAAATCTCCAACTATTCAAATGTAATGTCAATCGACATCTCCAGTTGCCTTGATCTATCCACTACCCTTCTCCTCGTCCTTTCTTCTATCACTCCTATCTGATCTTGCTCCAAATCTTCTGTAACCCCTTGCGTCCTAGTGGCCTCCAGCCTTGCTTGGGGTGAAACGCTTAAATATATATATATATGTGTGTGTGTGTGTGTGTGTGTGTGTGTGTGTGTGTGTGTGTGTGTGTGTGTGTGTAGAATGCTTTGGATAAATTGTCGTCTCAATTACGCCAAAATAAAAATAACATTGACATCTCATTTTAACAGATATATTTACCAAAATTACACAAAAATATCTTGAAAATACTAAAGAGCAATTTTATACAATAAAATCGCCATTGGCTTCAACCACGGCCTCCAAACTACTTCGGAATCTACTGCAACTCCTCTGGACAGTCTCCTTGTTTAAGTATTTGAATGTTGTCATAATCCTTGCCTTCAATTAATCTTTGGTGTTATAAGGGCTTTTGCTCGTCTCTCGCTCAACTGCGCTCTACACATAATAATCAAGATGTTTGCAGTATGAGGAGTTAGGCGGCCAAGGGTGATGTGGACGGCCATGACTCGGTTTTCCGGCTTGTGTGGCATGGTACAGAGTCCTGTTGCTAGCCATCATCTTGACCCAGAGCAGCACTACGGCCTCAAGTGACTTGATGTAGTTTAGTCTGAGGACCTGTGAGAAGATGAATGAAGGCCAGCGTGTTGCAAAAAAATTCTATTTAATGGAAAAAGATGACTTTCTTTTTAGAAATATGGATAACTGTTTACTGTTGAATGCGTTCATATTAACCATTTTTGCGAGTTTGCAGACTGGAGTCATCACATAACGTTCTAGTTAAGTTTTGATTTACTTCTTCTATATAGGAGCTCGGATTGAGGAATCGAAGAGCCGAGTTCGAATTCCAATCGAATCCATTACTAATACCCTTGGGAAAGGTATGAATTCTCTTCTTCTCCTCCACCTGTGGGTAAATAGCAGGACATACCGGATTCTATAGCCTTGGATACCGCAGAAAGAAATGGCAACCTACTGCAGGAAAAAAATCTGCCTCGTTAAGGCACATAACTAAATGAATTAAATCTACTGGCATGTGCATTTGTGAAGCTTAATAAACTAAGTTCCAAATTCCTAAAGAAGAGGAGGCACAGTGGAGTAATGGGTAGCAGCTCGAATTAAGGAATCAGTGAACCGAGTTCGAATTCCAGTCGAATCCATTACAGTCACTTACGTGCTAACACATCACACACACAATTTGACTAAGTTTGAAATAAGACATTGGAATAATATATTTTCCTCCCACTCAGTCCAGCAAACTCGTAAGACCGAGCAATAAAATCATAAAGACAAAAAAAATCCGTTTTTTTAAACTCTAAAAAACTCAGATAATTGTCAGATTTTATTCATTTTTTTTTTAATTATTCGATAATAAATAAACATTTTTTTTAAAGATTTGTTTTAATTTTAGAGAAATATCTTTTGTTTATCATTGAATTAAAATATACATGCCCACACGTACATACGCACACAATTTCAATGAAATGGAGATTTGTGCCGAGAGGGTTAATTTTTGGTAACAATCCTTGGATAACACAAAAAGTGTATAAGCCGGCATTTTAAAGTCATCTTCATTAAACGGAGCATATTTTCTAATAAATATAGTATCTTAAGTGGACAAACGATTTAGATTTAAAATTTGATCATCTTGTCCCCAGCAAAGCAAGAGGTACCGAATTAGTATTAGATAAAAAGAGAAAGATTTTGTCTTCTGTATATTCAAATCTAGAAAATGATGTTAAGTTTTAACAAGTCCATAATTTTAATTAATAACTATCATTTTATAACGCCTCTATTTAAATGGAATATATTTTGTAATAAATGTAGTATTTTAAATAGACAAAAACATTAGATTTGAAATTTGATCATCTTGCCTTCAGTAAAGTAAGACATTGAATTAAGATATACATATCCACATTCAAGTCGACATGCGCACACAATTTCAATAAAATTTTAACTGGTCATCTGTGTTGTGGGGACTAATTTCCGTCTTAGTCTAGCAACAAACCCTGGATAATCGGAAAAAGATTATAAGCCGGTCCTTTGAAATCATTTTTTCTTTACTACATATGTATTTAAACTGAATACATTTCATAATAATTGTATCTTAAATAGACAAACGATTTAGATTTGAAATTTGATCATCTGGTCTTAAGCAAAGCAAGAGGTACCGAATTAATATTAGATAAAGAGAGAAAGAAAAAAATGAGTTTGTCTTCTGTATATTCTCATCTAGAAAATGATGCTAAGTTTTATCAAGTCCATAATTTTAATTAATAACTATCATTTTATAGCGCCTGTATTTAAACGGAATATATTTTCTAATAAATGTAGTATTTTAAATGGACAAACAATTTAGATTTGAAATATATCTTCTTGCCGCCGGCAAAGGAAGAGGTACAGAATTAGTCCGTATAAAAAGTAATTCAATGAAAAACTTATATAATTAAACAAAGAACGAGTAACTAATTGCACTAAAGTGTCGAGTAAGTGTTCAACGAATTTTGATTTGCCCAAAACGTTGTATCAGGGATTGAACCTTAAGGACAAGTGGCATCCAATTCGCTAGAGACTAAATAGTAAGCTATCTTTATGGGTAACATGAACTACTAGTCTTTAGATTAACTGTTTTACAGGTTTGTAGCGTTTAATTAGAAAAGGTGGTTATTAAATGCTTTCTCGTCCTCACAACCGTTATCTTCTCTCCCCTTCACTTCCACCATTGAATTCTTCTTTCTTTCTCACTTGTAAAGCCTTTTGTGATTCGTCGAAGCTTCTTCCCGATCTTTCACCTCCTATTTTGATTCATTTTCACCTTACTTCTAGGCCCCATTGTTTTACATTTTTATTATCTTTTTTTCTTCTCGTTTTCTTTCTTCTTTTTTTTTCAGTACTTTCTTTCTTTTTTTCTCTTTTCTTTCTTTCTTTGTTTTGTTTCTTTCTGGCTGTTTTTTTTTTCTTTCTGTCTTTGTTCCTTTTTTACTTTGGGGGGGTTTCTTTCCGTTTGTGTTCTTTAATTCTGTTTTTGCTTTTTTCTCTCATTGTTTCTTCCTTTTTGGATTCTTTCTGTTTTTATTTCTTGTTGCCTTTCTTCCTGTTACATTCTCGATTTTTTTTTCTTTTTTTCTTTCGCTTTGTTTTTTTTTTATTATTTCTTTCTGTCTGTTTTCCTTTCTGTCTTTCTTTCTCTCTGGCTTTCTTTTTGCCTTCATTTTTGCCTTCATTTTTTTCTTTTCTCTGTTTAATATTTCTTTCTCCTTCTCTTCTTACTTTCTTTAATTTCTTCTTTCTTTCTTTCTGCCTCCTTATACTTTACCATTTTCCTTATTCAACAGATTTCTATGCCTTTCTTTTTTTTCTTCCTTTCATTCTTTTCACATCTTCTATCTTTCTTTCTTTTAAAATTTTCCATCTTTTTTTTTTCAATCACTCTGATTTCCAATTTTGCTCTTTTCCTTCCTTCAGTGCATTTCTTTGTCTCTTTCATTTTATCACCTCTCACTTTTCTATTTTTCTTTTCGCGCCTTTGCTCATCTTTTTTTATCCTCTTCCCCCTTCTCCATCTTCCTCACCATTTTCTTTTCCATCATTGTCTTCTTCTACCCCCACCTTGTTTTCTTTCTTTCTTTCTCTTTTTAACGTCTCTTTTTTCCTGGTTATCATTTGTGGTAGGAAATACAACAGGAGTTACCGTTCTTAGTGTGACAAAAGCAATTTTACAATTATGACTTATTTTTTTAACTAAGTCGCCGGTAATTTCACCGCCTCTCACCTCGGAAATTTTCATTGTCTTTTGAAACAGCAAGTGCATGAGTACCTCAGATGCAAGGGGGGTGCATCACGGGGAAAGTAAGACGGACAATTAACTCACCACGAACATGTTGAATACGTCCAAACAATGATTCCGTTTCAATCTCGAGTGCGATGACTGAAAACGGATTCAGAAAAAAAAATGTAGGGGGGAGAAAATTGCGGTCAGTCACTTTCATGACAGATGCCCAAGAAATAAATATTTCTTGTTGGGTTAGAAAAAACCTGTCAACAAGTGTCTAGCTATAAAAGCATAAAAAATAATATTAGCCATTTAATAGCTCTGTTCTGTCAATAACAACTTGCATTAATTCCTAACCGATGACAATCTTTTTTTTATTCATTCCAATGCATTTCAAAGGTAAAATTATTCATTTAATTTATAAATTTAATTTAATATAATTACAATGGACTTATATATATATATATATATATATATATATATGTGCGCGTGTGTGTGTGTGTGTGTGTGTGTGTGTGTGTGTGTGCTGCCATTCGTCCATGCATTGGTGTCACCTTAATAATCGAAGTAAATAGTACGTTCAAGGCGGGGATTAGTAGTCAAATAATGGCACCCTCTATCCTGTGCACACACATGCACACACACACACACACAAATATATATATATATATATATATATATATATATATATATATATATATATATATATATATAAAACATCTAGCATTCATTGACCGAGCATCTAGACATGCTCTTGGTTGAAATTTTAAAAATCTTTATCTGAAAACAATTTTTCAGGAAAATAGTTTTCTCAAGTCATATATATATATATATATATATATATATATATATATATATATATATATATATATATATATATATATATATATATATGTATAAACTCTAATAGTTGCCGACGCGTTTTGTCCGATGGACTTTTCAAAGGCAAAAACGAAATTAATTTATTAAACAAAGCTACTAATAGTAAAACAAAATGTCCTTAGCAACTGGAAGAATTTAGAGAACGCTATTTTCACATTGTTAACTGAAAATTATGTCAATTACTGTCACGTATGGAGATATTGTTTTTATTGCTGTGTTGACTGATTCAACCATTTTCTTTTGATTTCTTGATACTGTTCTGTACGTTTGTTTGGGAGAGTAGTAATTCTGTTAAGAAAAGTGAAATAGTGGAAAAAGCCTGGTCGTAGATTAATATTTGGATAATATTCAATGGCGACACTCTCGAGGATTAATCTACGCCCAGGCTTTTTCCCTATTTCAACTTTCTTAACAGAATTACTACTCTCCCAAACAAACGTACAGAACAATATCAAGAAACCATCTGATCTGGTGATTCTGCTATGGATTTAGCGATTCTTGACAAAATCCAAAGAACAATCCTCAAAGCCATTGGTCCTGACTTGTCATCTCGGCTTCAATCCCTTTCCCAGCGCCGTAACGTAGCTTTCCTCTGCCTTTTCTATCAATAATTTCATGGTCGTTTTTCTGATGAGCTTTCCTCTTTGGCACACATAATTTATGAATTTAATCGCACTACTAGATTGGTGGCAATATCTCATCATTTTACAGTTCAAATGGCTGGATGTAACCGTATGTTCTATGCTAATAGTCTCTTCTCTCGCACTTCTCGATTGTGGTTCTCTCTTCCGGTTTCTTGCTTCCCTGTCAACTCCGATATTCAAAAATTTAAATGCAATGCCAATCTTTATCTATTGTTTTCTTAATTCTTGTTCTTTTAATGTTCTCTTTCCCTAATTTTTATTTTCTCATATTCTTATATACACTGATTAATTCCTTGAGTCTTACTGGCTTTATTGCCTTTCTTTAAGTGAAATGATAAAAAAAAAAATAAATTCCAAATCTGTCGCCAATCTTTGTTTTAAACGTGCAACAATGGAACCAAACCTGGAAGATTTTTTTCCTGTAAGAAATGTTTTGACATGTAAACACAACCTGTAATTTTCTGCACAGACCGGAAGTAATGAAAGACTTATTAGGTTGACAAATTAAAGGTGAAAAATATTGAAAAGGACAGTGGTGCGTAGGTGGGAAGGTGAGATAGGAGTGGTGGTGTGCGGGATGGTTCGAAAATACAGGAAGCAGTGCAAAAATTGGCCACCTAAGTTGCCAGAAATTTCTGGAAGCGATCCCAACGTGTGGATGAAAGTTGGCATCTTATGTCGCTTTTTTTTTCTTTTTCTTTTTTTCTTTTTTGTTTGTTTTGTTTTTGTTTTGTTTTTTGTTTGTTTTTGGGGGGTTTTTTGTTTGTTTTTTTTAGCTTTGTTTTGTTTTTAGCCGGCTGACATCTTCTCTAAACACACACGTGAGTTTTCAATCGGACAGAGAAATGACACTTATTATTATTGTTCACACTTCCTTTTTCATTTTCTTTTCTCAATCATTGTTTCTTAGATTCATTCATTTTTCTTAGATTCTTCTTAGTTTAAACGTCATATTCTTTTCTTTTTTGTGGGTTGAGAAGACACTTTGTGTTTATTTTTTTTTATACCTTCTTACTCTTTTTCTTTATATTTTCATCTCCCCATTTTTTCTTCATCTTTTTATCTTCATGTTTCTTCTTCTTTTTCTCTTCTTCATCGTTTCATTTTCCTCTTTTTATTCAAGTTTTCTCTTTTTCTTAATTTTCTCCATCTTTTGATCTTCCTCTTCTCCCTCTTGTTTTATTCCGTCATTCATTTTCCTCCTCTTCATCTTTTCATTTTTCTCGTCTATATCTTCCTCATTTTATTTTCTCTTCTTCATTTTAACTTCTTCCTATCTTTCTTTATCTAATCTTCTTTATTTTTCATCTTCCTATTTTTCTTCATCTTCGCGTCTTGATTCTTTCATCTCCCACCCTTTCCTTCCTTTCTTTTACAATGTTACATTAACTCCTTTTTTCTCATCTTCTATTCTTCATCCTTACATCTTCGTTCTTTTCTTCTTTTCTCTTCAACTTTTCATTTTTCCTCTTTTTATTCATCTTTTCATTTTTCTCTTTTTCTTAATTTTCTACGACTTTCCATCTCCCTCTTCTTCTTCATCTTCTTCTTCATCTTCTTCTTCTTCTTCATCTTCTTCTTCATCTTCTTCTCTTCCTCCTATTTCTTCTCTTATTCCTACATTCATTTTCTTCTTATTCTTTTTATTTTCCTCTTATTCTTAATTTTATCTTCTTTATCTTCTCATCTTCCTCTTTTTCTTCTCATCTTCCTCTTTTTCTTCTCATCTTCCTCTTTTTCTTCTCATCGACGTCTTTTTCTTCTCACCTTCCTCTTTTTTCTTCTCATCCTTCGTCCTTTTTTTCTTCTCATCTTCGTCTTTTTTTCTTCTCATCTTCCTCTTTTTCTTCTCACCTTCCTCTTTTTTCTTCTCACCTTCCTCTTTTGTTCTCATCTTCCTCTTTTTCTTCTCATCATCCTCTTTTCTTCTCATCATCCTCTTTTTCTTCTCACCTTCCTCTTTTTCTTCTCATCGACGTCTTTTTTCTTCTCATCTTCCTCTTTTTCTTCTCATCTTCCTCTTTTTCTTCTCATCTTCCTCTTTTTCTTCTCATCGACGTCTTTTTCTTCTCATCTTCCTCTTTTTCTTCTCACCTTCCTCTTTTTCTTCTCATCGACGTCTTTTTCTTCTCACCTTCCTCTATTCCTTCTCATCTTCCTCTTTTTCTTCTCACCTTCCTCTTTTTCTTCTCATCTTCCTCTTTTTCTTCTCACCTTCCTCTTTTTCTTCTCATCGACGTCTTTTTCTTCTCATCTTCCTCTTTTTCTTCTCATCTTCCTCTTTTTCTTCTCACCTTCCTCTTTTTCTTCTCATCGACGTCTTTTTCTTCTCATCTTCCTCTTTTTCTTCTCATCTTCCTCTGTTTCTTCTCATCGACTTCTTTTTCTTCTCATCTTCCTCTTTTTCTTCTCATCTTCCTCTTTATCTTCTCATCTTCCTCTTTTTCTTCTCATCGACTTCTTTTTCTTCTCATCTTCCTCTTTTTCTTCTCATCTTCCTCTTTTTCTTCTCATCTTCCTCTTTTTCTTCTCATCTTCCTCTTTATCTTCTCATCTTCCTCTTTTTCTTCTCACCTTCCTCTTTTTCTTCTCATCTTCCTCTTTTTCTTCTCACCTTCCTCTTTTTCTTCTCATCTTCCTCTTTTTCTTCTCATCTTCCTCTTTTTCTTCTCACCTTCCTCTTTTTCTTCTCATCGACTTCTTTTTCTTCTCATCTTACTCTTTTTTTTCTCATCTTCCTCTTTTTCTTCTCATCTTCCTCTTTTTCTTCTCACCTTCCTCTTTTTCTTCTCATCGACGTCTTTTTCTTCTCATCTTCCTCTTTTTCTTCTCATCGACTTTCCATCTCCCTCTTCTTCTTCATCTTCTTCTTCATCTTCTTCTTCATCTTCTTCTCTTCCTCCTCTTTCTTCTCTTATTCCTACATTCATTTTCTTCTTATTCTTTTTATTTTCCTCTTATTCTTAATTTTATCTTCTTTATCTTCTCATCTTCCTCTTTTTCTTCTCATCTTCCTCTTTTTCTTCTCATCTTCCTCTTTTTCTTCTCATCGACGTCTTTTTCTTCTCACCTTCCTCTTTTTCTTCTCATCGACGTCTTTTTCTTCTCATCTTCCTCTTTTTCTTCTCATCTTCCTCTTTTTCTTCTCACCTTCCTCTTTTTGTTCTCATCTTCCTCTTTTTCTTCTCATCTTCCTCTTTTTCTTCTCATCATCCTCTTTTTCTTCTCATCTTCCTCTTTTTCTTCTCACCTTCCTCTTTTTCTTCTCATCGACGTCTTTTTCTTCTCATCTTCCTCTTTTTCTTCTCATCTTCCTCTTTTTCTTCTCATCGACGTCTTTTCTTCTCATCTTCCTCTTTTTCTTCTCACCTTCCTCTTTTTCTTCTCATCGACGTCTTTTCTTCTCACCTTCCTCTATTCCTTCTCATCTTCCTCTTTTTCTTCTCACCTTCCTCTTTTCTTCTCATCTTCCTTTTTCTTCTCACCTTTCTCTTTTCTTCTCATCGACGTCTTTTCTTCTCATCTTCCTCTTTTTCTTCTCATCTTCCTCTTTTCTTCTCACCTTCCTCTTTTTCTTCTCATCGACGTCTTTTTTCTTCTCATCTTCCTCTTTTTCTTTCTCATCTTCCTCTGTTTCTTCTCATCGATTTCTTTTTCTTCTCATCTTCCTCTTTTCTTCTCATCTTCCTCTTTATCTTCTCATCTTCCTCTTTTTTCTTCTCACCTTCCTCTTTTCTTCTCATCGACTTCTTTTTTCTTCTCATCTTCCTCTTTTTTCTTCTCATCTTCCTCTTTTTTTTCTTCTCATCTTCCTCTTTTTCTTCTCATCTTCCTCTTTATCTTCTCATCTTCCTCTTTTTCTTCTCACCTTCCTCTTTTTCTTCTCATCTTCCTCTTTTTCTTCTCACCTTCCTCTTTTTCTTCTCATCGACTTCTTTTTCTTCTCATCTTCCTCTTTTTCTTCTCATCTTCCTCTTTTTCTTCTCATCTTCCTCTTTTTCTTCTCACCTTCCTCTTTTTCTTCTCATCGACTTCTTTTTCTTCTCATCTTCCTCTTTTTTTTCTCATCTTCCTCTTTTTCTTCTCATCTTCCTCTTTTTCTTCTCACCTTCCTCTTTTTCTTCTCATCGACGTCTTTTTCTTCTCATCTTCCTCTTTTTCTTCTCATCGACTTCTTTTTCTTCTCATCTTCCTCTTTTTCTTCTCATCTTCCTCTTTTTCTTCTCATCTTCCTCTTTATCTTCTCATCTTCCTCTTTTTCTTCTCACCTTCCTCTTTTTCTTCTCATCGACTTCTTTTTCTTCTCATCTTCCTCTTTTTCTTCTCATATTCCTCTTTTTCTTCTCACCTTCCTCTTTATCTTCTCATCTTCCTCTTTTTCTTCTCACCTTCCTCTTTTTCTTCTCATCGACGTCTTTTTCTTCTCATCTTCCTCTTTTTCTTCTCATCTTCCTCTTTTTCTTCTCACCTTCCTCTTTTTCTTCTCATCGACGTCTTTTTCTTCTCATCTTCCTCTTTATCTTCTCATCTTCCTCTTTTTCTTCTCATCTTCCTCTTTATCTTCTCATCTTCCTCTTTTTCTTCTCACCTTCCTCTTTATCTTCTCATCTTCCTCTTTTTCTTCTCACCTTCCTCTTTTTCTTCTCATCGACTTCTTTTTCTTCTCATCTTCCTCTTTTTCTTCTCATCTTCCTCTTTTTCTTCTCATCTTCCTCTTTATCTTCTCATCTTCCTCTTTTTCTTCTCACCTTCCTCTTTTTCTTCTCATCGACGTCTTTTTCTTCTCATCGACGTCTTTTTCTTCTCATCTTCCTCTTTTTCTTCTCATCTTCCTCTTTTTCTTCTCACCTTCCTCTTTTTCTTCTCATCTTCCTCTTTTTCTTCTCATCTTCCTCTTTATCTTCTCATCTTCCTCTTTTTCTTCTCACCTTCCTCTTTTTCTTCTCATCGACTTCTTCTTCTTCTCATCTTCCTCTTTTTCTTCTCATCTTCCTCTTTTTATTCTCACCTTCCTCTTTTTCTTCTCATCTTCCTCTTTTTCTTCTCACCTTCCTCTTTTTCTTCTCATCTTCCTCTTTTTCTTCTCATCTTCCTCTTTTTCTTCTCATCTTCCTCTTTTTCTTCTCATCGACGTCTTTTTTCTTCTCACCTTCCTCTTTATCTTCTCATCTTCCTCTTTTTTCTTCTCATCTTCTCTTTTTTCTTCTCATCTTCCTCTTTTTTCTTCTCACCTTCCTCTTTTCTTCTCATCTTCCTCTTTTTCTTCTCACCTTCCTCTTTTTTTCTTCTCACCTTCCTCTTTTTTCTTCTCATCTTCCTCTTTTCTTCTCATCTTCCTCTTTATCTTCTCATCTTCCTCTTTTTCTTCTCATCGACGTCTTTTTCTTCTCATCTTCCTCTTTTTCTTCTCATCTTCCTCTTTTTCTTCTCACCTTCCTCTTTTTCTTCTCATCTTCCTCTTTTTCTTCTCATCTTCCTCTTTTTCTTCTCACCTTCCTCTTTTTCTTCTCATCTTCCTCTTTTTCTTCTCATCTTCCTCTTTTTCTTCCCATCGACGTCTTTTTAGCTTCCCGTTCTCTTCTCTTTCTTCTTTCCTTTCTCATTTTCTACTCTTCTCTTCTTCACATAACTGCACTGATTCTTCATATATTTCTTTCTTCCTTTTCACATTTTCCATCTCTCTTTCTTTCTTTTCACATTTTCCATCATTCTTCCTTTTTTTTCATTTTCCATCTTTCTTTCTTTGTCTCGTTCTTTTCACATTTCCCATCTTTCTTTCTTTTCACATTTCCCATCTTTCTTTCTTACTTTCTTTTCATATTTTCCATCTTTCTTTCTTTCTTTTTTTCAAATTTTCCATTTTTTCTTTTTTTTCTTTTTTCATTTTTTCTTTCTTCTCACATTTTCCATCTTTCTTTTTTTCACATTTTCCATTTTTTATTTTTTTTATTTTCTCATTTTTTCTTTCTTCTCATATTTTCCATCTTTCTTTCTTCCTTTCTTTTCGTATTTTCCATCTTTCTTCCTTTGTTTCTTTTCACATTTTTCATTTTTTTTTCTTTCTTTCTTTTCAAATTTTCCATCTTTCTTTTGCTTTCACTTTCCACTTTTCTTTACCGATTTTTCATATATTTACTGTTGTTGATAAAAACGTTTCGACCAATTCATTATTCAGCCTCCCTCCGGTGTAAACAAAAAAAAAAAAAAGAAAAAACGCATACAAATTCGACCTACCCGTTGCTCTAGTACATGCCTGACACAGTTCGCTGACAAATCTCCTTTTCCATTTTA